GAAAGTAATTTCGAATTGACACTCTTCTATCCCAAACCATTATCAAAAGAATCAGATATATGTATCAAATCGTAACAAAACGTATTACAATGATGAGAAATAAATCAATATGTTTTTCAAAATAACGTTTGAACTATGCCACATTATGATAACCAATTTCCAATGAAATGGGAAACAAAAATTGACTAAGACAATTTATCAAATACTTGGTGCGTAATAAACACCAAGTTGATTTTCCTTTGTGTTGATGATATGAAAAACCAATTTCAATTGTTTACAATGTAATTATCTTACAAAACAGATTGAAATACTTCAACACAAACAAAATTTTCAATATATGAAATTACACACTAAATGAATTTTCAAATTGTGTGTGTGTGTGTGTCTCTCTCTCTCTCTCTCTCTCTCTCTCTCTCTCTATATATATATATATATATATATATATATATATATATATATATATATATATATATATATATATATATATATATATATATATATATATATATATATATATATATATATATATATATATATATATATATATATATATATATATATATATATATATATATATATATATATATATATATATATATATATATATATATATATATATATATATATATATATAGTGGGGATCAACTTACTCAAAGAGTAAGTTTTTTTTAACTTACTCCATATCATAGCCTTTAAATTGAATTAATCTAGTGGTTAAATTAGCATTTTTACTTATAACCATTCGATTAAATCTAATTTAAAGGCTATGATTGTGGAGTAAGTTATAAAAACTTGCTCTTGGAGTAAGTGGATCTTCACTTATATATATATATATATATATATATATATATATATATATATATATATATATATATATATATATATATATATATATATATATATATATATATATATATATATATATATATATATATATATATATATATATATATATATATATATATATATATATATATATATATATATATATATATATATATATATATATATATATATATATATATATATATATATATATATATATATATATATATATATATATATATATATATATATAGAGAGAGAGAGAGAGAGAGAGAGAGAGAGAGATAGATAGATAGATAGATAGATAGATAGATAGATAGATAGATAGATAGATAGATAGAGAGAGAGAGAGAGAGAGAGAGAGAGAGAGAGAGAGAGAGAGAGAGAGAGAGAGAGAGAGAGAGAGAGAGAGAGAGAGAGAGCAAAGTTTATTTAGGCAGTTCCTCAATTATCCTCACAATGGGAACGTCTTCCCCCAATTCCAAGTGGAATTGAGATATTCAATTAACCTTTATAAATGTTGTATACAAGAGAAAACGTAGCAATCCAAACCCCTAAACTCTAAGTTTGATGTTGACCCTATATTTTTCTCATCCCTTGATCTTAAGCAAGATTAAGTGACCTAAGATTTCCAATTCGATCCTCTAGTTACTGCTACTTCTTTGACAGAACCACATTGTTCAAAGCTTTCACTCGGTTGAATTCTCATTGTGAAATCTTGTGCAAAACCCCCTAAATCACCCTTGATCTTGGAGAAAAAACCCAAACTAGTTTTATCAATGAAACACCCAAAGATTTCTCAACCCAATTTGATTACAACAATCCTAATTGGACCTTATCAATCTTGTATCTAGATGGCACCCAACAAAAATAATTATGTAAACTGAAGATGATGAAAATCTCTGCGTATATTCTTGATTTCAATATTTTTAAAATGATGCATGAATGCATGTGTGTGTGTCTGTAAGAAGGAAAATACCAGAAAATAGATTTTTAACAAAATTACAAGTTTGAAAATTTTAAAACAAAATGTATTTACTCTAAGAATATGGAGTCAACATAGAAGTAAATCCGCTTTTATGTATCAATACATAATGCCTAGGAGTCGACCCCAACAAGGTAGAGCCATTAGACTTGCCAAAGTTTCAGCTAGAGTCGACCTCAAACCTGAATGAGTCGATCCACACGATTTATGTATCGACCTCAGATCCTCATGTATCGATACATAGAAGGCAATGACTTTAATTTCAAAAGGCCTTTAGTATGTATTGGCCTATAACATGGATATGTCGACCATAACCTTGTTTTTCATGCAAAACCATAATTTTGACTTGTAAAAACCTATCTAACTTGATTTTAAGTGTCTTAATATGAAAATGCACATTTAGGCATAGAGAATAAGATCCAATGTACACAAATACTAAGTATCCTAATTTTGACATCATTCAAAATATTTTCTAAAAGGATAGTGCACTCACAAATATTCCTTATGCATCCATGTTTAACTTTACTCATCGGATGATAAGCATCTAGTAACAATTATTCTGCTCAATATGAAGGAAAGTCATCATCAACAAAAAATGAAACAATCATGTTGTATCATGAAACTCATTTGAGATAGATGATATAGTACTCGAAGTTCTGACTGCAAATAATGAAGTAGTGTTATAAAGTTATCCTCCACAAAAATAGAACACTATCTGATCTTACCTGATCAGAAAGGAATCAGTGACCTGCCACACGTCGTTGATCTGAAGGTTGTTCGTCAAAAGTAGGGAGGAGGAGGGGGGTGTACCTGCAAGACACTCTGATGCCAAAGTAAGTAATGGACCAGAGTGAGAGCAAATACAGAAGAGAGATAGAGAATTGACTACCTGACCCTCCAGTGAAAGAGGGTATTTATATAGAGACCCCAGCGCAGGGCCAACGGTCACTTGTGTTAGGCTGGATTGTCAGGCCCAACTCAGGTGACTACTAGGGCTTACGTGGCATAGTGAAGACCAACATGTGGTCTTCGCCTTAGTTCAACCGTCCAGTGGTTTTCGGAAGGTGGGCTTCCCAGCTCTTTCGGAGGTGAGTACTTGGCTGATGACGTGTCCCTGCGGAAGGAGCACGTGGAGAACGTGTGGAAGACGTGTTGTTCTGCCCGGCCAGGGAGGGTGCCTGCCCGGTGTGTATAGACATGTGCCCGACACTGGTGGATTTGGGCCTTCCCCAAATAGCGTTGGGTTGGGCCTGCCCGGAGGATGGGCAAGCCTAAGCCCAGTCCAAAACACTATCCTTAACATTTAATACCATTTGCTTGAGATTCCCCTTGCAATCATAATTAATACCTATGAAGCCATGATCATAACACACGATAATAATGATGTTATTATAAGTTGGAGTCTGCTCAAGGAAAGAACTAGGAGTTGTTGTTCCTACTTCATCCAGAGATTTTGAAACTTTGAATAAAAAAATATTTGACAAAGTGTGCAAGGAGTCATTACAACCATAAAGCTTATGTGAACAGTAACACAATGTTCACATAAGCTGACCATAACATTATAGGAATTTGTTATTTGTTAAGATATTTAGTCAAATAATTAGCGGGTATTTTTTTATTTTTTTATTTGCACTTAAAAGTGAAGTTTTTAGTCTGCTGACTATCATCTAAATGATGCACTCCAACTCTTCGTTCTATGTATCCAACCTACAATACAACAAGTAGTGTCAATTTTAAAAGCCTAAAGTGATATTTTTGCAAATTTTCTCTAAAACAGAGTGCAATATAGATGCTTTAGAGAAATCTAAGGTTAGTGTTAATGTTAAGATGTGAGAATTTTTCATGTGTTTGAGTTCTAGAGAGAGTTTTTTTTCTTCATGCAAATGTGGAGGAGAAAAAGATCAAGATGAACAATAAGACAAAACAATGTATTTATGAAGGTTTTTAACCTATGCAATCTAATGAATTTATGCAGTCAACCAAAATATTGAGTTTAAGTGACGTGATATACCACATCAGTTTTTATTAAGCCAAATAGAACAGAGATCAAAATGACCAAAATGAAAAAAAAATGTTAACATTCAAATAAATTATTATTAAAAAAAAATTATTATTAAAATAGTTAATCTATTAATATATTAATTTAATATTTAATTTACATGAATAAATAATAAAAAAAAACAAAAAAACAAATAAATAAAAAAGGGTCTAACATGGATGGGCTAAGGTGCAAGTATATATGGTAGTCCTTTACCCATCAAGTCATTTACTGGTTTAAAAAAATTAAAAAGTATGATATTTAGATAAATTTTCAAAATATGGCATTTAGAACATTGATAAGTAGAACATGCAGGATAAATACTCTCAAAAGACTCTGCCTAATTGATACCATTTCAAATCTAATTCAGTTAATATAGTTACTAATCTAGCACAGCCCCAATAGTAAAAAGTTGTACGAATACAAAATTCAAAAATTACAGTTCATCATGGGCTGGTCATGCCCAACGGTATGGCCACTAGTCACTTCCTTATTTGACCGCTTTATAAACTGAAAAAGTTAGAAACTAGTAAAATAATTCGACCAAAAAATGTAACAAACCATAAAAAGTCACGTCAATTGCGCAATCTCAACCTAACAATTGATATTCTTCTTCCAATCTCTTCTCAATCCCTCGTATTAACACTATCAAAATCTCCAATTTCATAGTAATAGAGTAATCAGTAATCACCAAGAACATAAATGAAATATCTCAAAATTTTAAACTAGAGAAGAGAAGCAACGTGTCAAATATGGCAGTTACTAATACATTGCAAGCTGTAGATATTTTTATTACGATTTTTCTACCGACAATGACACACACTCTCACATGACACATCCACAATATTGAGTCATTAGTCATGACCCTCCTCCCACTCACTCACTCACTCACTCACACTCCATTTTCTCTCTACTAACTCACTCTCCCAACTTCAATTCTTTACCAATTTTCTCACCCTATCACGAGATAAATATTTCTTGCTTTCCTCCAATTCCAACACACCCTTAAATTCTCTTTAATTCTCTCTCCTTTATCTTGTTTTCTTTCTCTTTTTATTTCCCTCTCTATTCACCATTCTTCATTCTCTCTCTCCCTTATTTTCCCGCCAATTTCTCTCTCTTTCTTTCTCTCTTCACTCTCTTTTTTCTTCCATGACCGTTCAATCAACCTTGAAGCTTCACAATCTGAAGCCAAGAGCTTCAAGATCAAATTTTGAAACTAACCCATCATTCAAAACAATCACCAAAACCCAAAACAAGATGAAGCTACTCCGGGTCATTCTCACCGACCATGATGCAACTGATTCCGACTCTTCCGGCGAGGATGAACCGTCACCACAAAGAAGAAAGAGAGAAATAACCGAAATCGCCATGCACTTTCCTCTTGTATCTGATTCTCCCAAAACTTCACCTTCTTCTTCAGCTTGCTCCACTGACCCGACCCGTTTCAAAAGACGTGGAAAACCAGTCAAAAAGTCCGGTAGTTCTTGCCGGCAAAACATATTCCGTGGTGTTCGTCAGAGACCTTGGGGTCGGTGGACAGCTGAGATCCGTGACCCGAACCAACGAAAGCGCGTCTGGTTAGGAACTTTTGACACGGCGGAGGAAGCCGCTGCTGTGTACGACGAAGCCGCCGTGAAGCTTAAGGGTCCAAAGGCTATTACCAACTTTCCAAGTACCGACGCCGTTAAAAAGGATGTCAACGAGCCACCGAAGATTTTCTCCGGCGACGGTTTTGCTTCTCCGACTTCCGTTCTACCTTACTACGACGGTGACTCCACGCCGTTTGACAGTTTTCGTTACGGAACAGTGGATGCGTTTGGGTTCGATATCGATACGCCGTTAAGTTTAACGGACGTTAACTTTATGGGATTTCGGAAAGAAAAAGAAGAGTTCGGTGAGTTTGACTTGGACGAGTTCCTGACGTGGCCCAATTAAACCCCGAGGGCTTATTAGTCATTAGAAGAAAAATCCTGAGTCGTTAATACTGATATTTTTGTCGTGTTCTGTTATTACCTAATGAAATCCCTAAACTACCCTTGTGACTAAGTTTTTTTTTTTTTTAATTTTTATTATGCAGCTTGTAAGAGTCTAGAGCACTAGAGTAAGCGTTATCCTTAAGAAAATATTTTTGTCTTAAGTTATTTTGTAATTATTTTGTCGTTTTGTCCAAAATAGGGAGACATATATAGCTACATTAATACTAGTAGAAGGAAAATTATGCAAGGAAATTATTAAAAATGACTATATTATTTTGTTGTTATTTTATTATTATTTTGAAATCAAGTTTTGCCTTTTTGTTAAGAAGATGCCAGATTTTATGATTCATCTGTAAGATTCTATGATTCTATATGGACCAAAAGATTTGGTTAATAAATTGTTCCAACAAACAATTGACACATGTTATAGATATTGCGTGCTCTATTTATTTTATTTAAGATTTTTTTAGAGGAAATTCACTTTTGTACATAACTAAAAATATATCAACTACTGAGTAATTGTTTACGATATACACGTTACTCTTTCATGTTACTCATATTCTACATAGATTTTTAATTTGTTTCATAAAATTGGTGATCAATTACCACTAAAATTGATTGATTAATCACGTTTTAAAGTGGTGGAGGAAAATAGGTATGTGGGGGCCATTGAGGTATAGCCTACAAAGAGATGGCTGCTCGTGGTTGATAAGAAACTAAGAATAATAATGGCAGCCCCCACCCCACTGATATTATGGTTGGTTTATGCTTCTTCACATTTCACTTAGTTAGTACTTTTCATATGGAATTGGAACCCAACCTACCAACCAATTGATTGCGGCGGCTCAATTGTGAAATTTCAAACTAAACTTGATTTAACAATTTATGTATTTGAGCTAATTATTGATCCAATTTTAATGTTGCCATTAGTTTGATAGATTGGCTCTAACCTTTACAAAATATTAGATGGGTGTCTTAATTTTAAATCTATATTAGGAGAGACAAACTCTTTGAAACAACATTAGAGATACATTATTTTCATTACTATCATAATCAATTTTTTTTCCATTCAATAAATAATGTATTTTGTTTATGATAACAAGATACATCAATTGTCCAATAAATAGATAAAAAATCAAATTTGTTCATAATAGTGACTTGGAGAATGTAGTTACTAACATCATTGACAATTTGTGCTTAAAATATATCGAGATCTACATTGATAATACAATGATCAAAACTTGAGATATGTAATTTCATAGTAAAGAACTATGAATTGATCTCTTGCTATGAAATTGCGCTTAAATTGATCTCTTACAAATGACGTCAATGAAAATATTGGTCTCTTGCTATGCAAGACAAGTTAAATTATTTTGAGAAAAACATTTATTAAAAGTTTGTCTCGAAATCGTCATCTAAGACGATGATTGGCACCAAATGGATTCACACGCTTAAAGAAAATGAAAATATTTTAAGAAATAAATTAAGACTCGTTGCAAAAAGGTACAATCAACATGAAAACATAGATTTAGATGAGACCTAGAGGCCATAAAGATGCCTTTAGATTCCTCATGCATTTTGAATTTTAAACTCTTCCAAATAGATGTAGAGAGCGTATTTTTGAACGATTTAAACTAAAACAATGTGTATGTGTATCAACCTCCTAAGTTTTTAAATATTCCTTTTACTAATCATGTCTTTAAGTTGAAAAATAATCTCTACGGTCTGAAACAAGCTCATATAACTTGGTATAAACAGTGAACAAATTTATGTCAGCAAATGATTTTTAAAGATGAAAGGTTAATACATCTTAGTTTATAAAGAAAAGTAAGCATGACATTTTACCTTTACGTCAATGGTATTGTATTTAGTGTTACTAATGAGTAATGAGTCATGGTGGAAAGATTTTTCTGATAGGATGCAAAATGAAATTGAAATGTCTATAATGAAAAAGCTCTAATACTTTTTTTAACTACAAAATCATCAATCTAATATTTATAAATCAATAATTTTCGAAGAACATGTGTGATTTAGGTGCGTCAGGAGATGGATCACATGACAAAGTAAGGACATTTTTTTGAATTTCAGAGGTCTGGGTCACGTCATACAGGGTGGAAAGAGTAATTCCCAATTATTTATGGGATATGCTCTTCCATCCTTAGTGGTGCACACCCACTTCTAGAAATTTGAAAATGCTTTTATGCGTCCGAAGATGCATCTCTGGATGCACCTAAAATCACATAATCTTTCTCTTTCAGATATCAACCCAATTTTGCTATAGAATGGGTCCGGAGATATATATCCAATATCATTCGGAGACGCATCTCCGAAATACTCCATGTGCTCATTTATGTTGTTTTTATTCACTGAGTTGGTTTAATTAATAACTCAATGATGTTTCCAAGATGCATCTCTAGAAATGTCAAGCTGCAAATTAGATAAAACATCATCTTGCATGATCTTCTTCTTCATTCTAAAAACAACTTCACTCTCAAAATCCTTGAAAATTTTGTTCCATTATTCTCAATCAACTTTTCAACACCAAAACTTTATTCTTGTATTTTGTCATAGCAAAGAAGTTAGAATTTAAAGTAAATTTCATTCATTTCATCCCACATTCCTTGCATTCATGTGTTTTTTGGACTGAAAAAAATGAACGTTGAGTCTGAATATGCATATTAGGACTTAGTTTATTTGTTTCAGAGATATATTTTCGGATTGGCCTGATAGTTTGAATTTTAAATATGTTTTATTTGAGGTATTAGATATAGTACACCCATATATGTTTTTCAAAGCTATTGTGAGTCTGGATGTTAAACTGGTCGAAGTGAAGCATGATGTTAAAACGATCGAAGTGAATGTTGTCTCACATTTTTCGGATTCTCCGACTCCAAAATCTTAAAAAGTATTTTTAAGGGTGCTCGCATTAGCAAACCATATCCTCCACCATCGTTACCAAAAATCAAACACATTAAAGAGATGTTGTTTTTTATGCAAAAATACATTGAATGGATAATAAATGTTGAAGGTGACGATAATTGAGGTTGTTGAGCGGTTTTAGGTTCGATGGATAAAGGATAAAATGACCATCAATTTGTCCACCGTCATCATATACTATAGATGACGACATATAGGATATCATACACAAAACTATATGGGAAAAAAGAAAGCTACGATGCAATTGTCAATGCTCTTGTTCCCTGTGTTAGTGGTCCGTCACCGTTTGATAAATGGATGTGCTTTCCGAATATGAGACATCTAATAGCAAGTGCTTATGATAGGGTGTTTATTGATTTAACACGATATAATTTTTAGAAAACATTCTTTTCACTTCGGAGTAAGACACATCAAAGTCCATCCGAACGTATCATGTTTATTGCTTGGATATCAAAAACACAACATTTTGTTCAGGTTTATTTGAAACCAAGATGGCCTATACCAAAGATATTATCGGAGTGGACGACACATTTAACACAAGACATACCGGAGTGAATGACACATTCAAACTCGAGTACCGTTCACCCTTGATTGACAACAAAGACAAATTATAGTTCATCATGCTTGAATTGAAGACAAGTGAGGATTTAAAAGTTATGTGCAATACATTTTACTATTACTCAATAAATGGTCTGATTGAAGTGGATGCAACGATTCCAAGAACAACAAAATATATTATAAGGATGTTGCAACGTCCTGAACCACCCGTCTGTAATGTAATGTTAAATTTATGTTAATGTTAATGATTATCTATGTAATGTTATTTTGATGTTAATTTATGTTGTTTTTTCCATTCTGTCATTGTTTCTATTTGTTTATGGTTTGAACTAACAGGACATACATTTTAAGAAAATAAAGATTTCTCGTTAATTTGCTAATGATACATATTTCATATATGCATCTCCAGACCATTACGAATTTATACAAAGATGCATCTTAGGACTATTTTTTTTAACAAAATAAGTATTTCTCATCCATTATTGCTAAGGAGGATGTAAAAAAAGGCATTTGAAAATACATATCCGAATATTAGAAAGAATTGTGCCTTTTCACAGTGGCGGAGAGACATCCCTAAACCCCTAAGGATGGGAGGAATATTTCCCCGGGCCTTCTTTTTTTGGTTAAGTTAGCATGAGGCCTTTATGCATAAGTTTACATTTTCATAAAGTAAATAGTAGGTGCAGATAGCAAGTGAAACGCACCGTTTTCAAACGAGCAGAAAAGGGTTTTTGATTTCGTTCCAAATAGCTGCAGACGCAGTGGTAGATAACAGCAAACACCAGATTTCGCTCGCTCTCCTTCCACCGGTGAATTCGTATGCCCCATTTCTCTCTCAATGTCCTAATCGTTATTTCTCCTCTTTCAATTTAATTTCCATGTTTTTGATTACCCAGTTTGGTGTGTGTTTCGTGTAATGTTTATGCACTTTTTTCTATCGTTATAATTACTGATTCTGCGTTCTCATCATGTTTAGCTTAACCCTATGATTTTAAGCTTGAAAAGTTTCCATCTTGATTTGTATTGGCCAATTAACCGATTTGGTTCTCTTTTAGGGTTTTTAATTTTATCATTATCTTTTTTCCCACTGTTATTGTCATTGTTACTGTTATTGATTAGTTTCGTTTTATTTAGGTTTCAGTTACCAGTTACCACCATGGCTGATGAAGCACAAATTGATGTGAAGGAGGAGGTTCCTGATGTAAGTTTCCTCACTTGATTTTAGTAGTTTTGTTTCATGCATTTGTTTTCCTATACATGTTTTGCTTGTTTCGTTATGGGGCTGTTTAAAAAGTTTTAATTTTTAAGTTAAACTCTCTGAATTGCGATTTCTGAGTATGACATTTTAGTACCCTGATATTCACAGTTTGTTTAAATCGTGCTAACTTTTAATGGCTTAATTTTGTTGATTGCAGATTGCACCATTTGATCCTACTAAAAAGAAGAAGAAAAAGAAACCAGCAGTTGTAGATCTTGATGATGATTCAGTAGACAAGTTGGCCGAGAAAACAGAAAATTTGTCGGGTATTGAAATTGAAATAGCGTCTGTTTTGTTATGTTTTATTAATAGTTTTGGTCTTCAAGGCTATTGTGTGAGTCATGTTATTGTGCTTGTGATTGAATGAATGATTCTAATCAGCTTTTCAATTGCAGTTTCTGATGGGTTTGATAGTACATTAGCTGGTGCGAAAAAGAAGAAAAAGAAGCCTGTAAGTTATATTGGAAATGTTATGTGGTTACATTAACGAACACTGTTTTTTTTTTCCACTCCTTCAATGTCTTAAACCGTTATGCATTTGATGTTGCAATGTTTTTTTTGCTGGATGCAATTTCAGTGTTTTTTTAATTGTTGTTTGTAGGTTGAAATCAGTAACTTAATTGAAGAGACTAGTGATGTGAAAAATGAAGACTTGGATGGTAAGCTGTCTCTTGAACACAATATATAATGTCTTAAGGGAGGTTAATTGAATGCTTATGATTTTCCAAATTCTTTCCTTAGATCACGCTGAAGAAGATGACCAAGAGGATGTTTCCTTGCAACCTCGTTACCCTTGGGAAGGGAGTGATCGTGATTATCAATACGAGGAGGTATAAAATATTAGGCTAGTGATTCATATGGATCTCAACTTTTATGTCACCATATTAGTTTTATTGGCTGTGTGTTGGTTTGTGTCTTCGAATATTTTGTTAATTATCTTATGCACATCAGTTTTTTAAAAAATGGAACTCGTGGAATGATCCACATATCCATGTCCTCTAGTATATATATCTGATTATATGGATTCTGCTTTCAATGGTGCTTTATCCTTGTTAGATTTACAAGTGTCTTTTTTGTATGATGTTATATAGAATATCTAGATTATTGAATCATTGTTATAGTATTGGTATGGTTCTCCAAAAATGTCATCATGATTTATTACTTTAAGCATTTTTACTTTTGATACTTCTGTTCCTGATTGGTTGAAATCTTTGCATTTTCTTCCGATGTCATAATTTTGGTTGGATCTTGTTTCACCCTCTGCATTCTCATGTTTTTTTGTGCAGCTTTTAGGCAGGGTGTTTAACATTCTACGTGAGAATAATCCCGAACTTGCTGGAGACCGGCGAAGGACTGTTATGAGGCCTCCACAAGTGCTTCGTGAGGGCACAAAGAAAACTGTTTTTGTGAATTTTATGGACCTTTGCAAAACGTACGTTGATTTGTTATTTACCTATACTCCTATAGGCTACATGTATAATACATACTTTTGTCTTCTGTACTTTGCTTTGGTTTATGACTTGTTACTCCCGGTCTTTCAGGATGCATCGGCAGCCAGATCATGTCATGACTTTCCTGCTTGCGGAATTGGGTACAAGTGGTTCTCTAGATGGACAGCAGAGATTGGTTGTCAAGGGAAGGTTTGCGCCAAAGAATTTTGAAGGAATTTTGCGTCGATATGTCAGTAAGTATCCTCTGTGTATATTGAATTGCTGTATATGAACTATTATGCTTATGATGGTAAAAATTGACCTATATTCTGTTTTTATAGATGAATATGTCATTTGTCTTGGATGCAAAAGTCCCGACACAATACTTTCTAAGGAAAACCGTTTGTTCTTTCTCCGGTGCGAAAAGGTTAAATTTCTATGTGCCAATTTCCTCTCTTTCTTTTTATCTCTTTTAGGCTTTGATCACACTGCTTACCCTCTCAATATATAAGATCAAGGCTTTCTGCCTTTATGGTAATTCTTCCATTGGATCCATGATTTTTTATTTTACGAAATTGACGTTTGATGATTTGATGGTTTTGAGTATGTTGTTTCAATTCTAAAATCACATTTATGAGAGAATACATGGTAGGGAATGAAAATACTACCTTAAAATTTCAAGGAGTTAAGTGAAGTTAAACTCAACAAATATTGATTGGTTTTGCAGTGTGGATCGGGAAGATCAGTTGCACCGATCAAGGCTGGTTTTGTTGCTCGTGTTGGCCGTAGAACTGCAGGGGGAACATGATTGTCGTTTTATCACTTCATTTTTGTAATCTATGTGTAAACTAAGGAGAATGAACCATATCCCAACTTCTGTCTGACCTACCCATGATGTACACCGTACTTGAGTTGAGTTCGTTCCAATACATTTTTGGCATGTTTTCTGTACACATGTTTCATCAAGCTTTGGTCTCATTCTTACCATTGGATTTTGTGTTATATGTTTGTCTGCAGAAGTTCAAAACAAACCTGTTATGGTTGTTTTATTCAATGAATTAACAGGGTTAAACTATAATTAACCTTAGCAATGTTATATGTTTAAATATTTGTGATGCTAAATTGAACCACTCATGAACCACAGTACAAGTGTTATATTTTTCTCAGTATCTATACCCTAAATTATGCAGATGTAGAAAAATGTATATGTTAGGTATAGTTCTGTTCATTTCATTAGAATAAGGTTTTTTCAATTTAGTAACTATCTATCTGTGCACACTTCCAGAAGTTGAAATGTAGCAAAGTACAAATTATATATCTAAATTCAAATCATGGAGTTGGTTCACAATAGTTATAATAAAGTTATTATCCTTTGAATTATGCCTTTTTTTGTATAAGAGCACTTTTGAAATGTTGGAAGCAATTTAAATTCTATTAGATCATAAAATTGTAAACATTTGAGAAATGTAACCGAGACATTAGTTCATGGTTCAAGTTATTCTTGGTAGAATGAAAACCAACCATGTTGTGTCTACATATATTCAGCTATACATGAAATGGCGATTAACTAAGTCAAGTCCATGGAAATCATGGTAATCCATTAAGCTTTTAATTATTTTGCATTCTAGAAATCATTTTTAATTTTGTATTGTTAGGTTTACAAATTGAGTTTTTTTGAATTAACAATTATTTTTGGTGACTATATCTGAATCTTGGTTGCATAAGGTAGCATTGGTTACGAACTGTAAATACATCCGTCTATCTTTTTTGAATTTGGGACTGCTCATTGATGACGATTCTAAGAAGCTAAATTTCCGGTTTCTTTTGATTGAGCAAATCAAAAGAAGGTTATCAGGGGTGGAAGAGTCGTTTTGTCTCTACAGGGGGTCACTTGATTCTTAATAAGTCAGTTTTGTCGTCATTTTTGGTGTACTTTCTTTCCTTTTTCAATGCGTTTTCAGGTGTCATATCTTCTTTTGAATATATTTTTAATGCATTTTTCTGAGAGTGGAGCGAATGGGGAAGTGAATAAAATTTATTGGATTAAATGGGATATTATTTGTTTAAAAAAAGAAAGTGGAGGTTTGGGAGTTATGAGGTTGAAGGAATTTAACTTACCCTACTTGATAAAGAGTGTTGGAGGATTCTAAATGAGACGACAAACCTTTGAAATAAACTATTAAGTGTTGTATATCAAAAGCTAGAGGAAAATTTTTAACTTATCTAATCGATTAGGTTATTTGTCTAATCAATTAGATTAGTTCAAATTTACGCTCCAAGCAATTTAGACAATACCTTAATGATGTGCAATAATTATATATATTTTTCTTCCTTTTATGGAACTTTCAAGTGATTATTTTCATCTTCTAATCGATTATACATAAGTGTTAATCGATTAGATTGTTGCAAAATGAATTAAATGAATTTTCCTTTTTGAGTCAACCTTAGACCTATAAATAGATATTTTATTTCTCGTTTCAAATCATTTAGAATCATGTTTTGACATTTTCATCTCTCACTCACACTCTCTTTAAACGTTTCTTTATCTTTCGCTCACTGTGTTTTTAGCCTAAGTGCTTTTGTGAGAAAAGTCCTTTTTTGAGTGAGATTATTTTTGTAATTCTGGAATGGATAGAATTGTAAAATTCTACAAGGAAACCTTTAATGTATACATTGGTTGAAGCCTGCCCAATTAGGGATTTGTACGAGTTAAAGATAAACCCATAAAAAGCTTTTGTTTGGAATTGAGTATTCCAGTCCTAGTTTAGGTTGGAGATTAACATGTGATAAAATCTCCTAAGTTCTTGGTCATTCCGATGTTAAACCAAGATTGGTTGAAGCTCAACCCGGTACTTACAAGCTTCACAGGTTTGAGATCAACCCGATGTTAAAATCTCATAGGTTTTTGGTTAGGCCGACTAAAACTAAGATATTGAGTTCAAATGTTATAAAACTTGAAGACTAACCACTCCAACGTTCGTGTTGTTGGAAAGAAGACTAACCGCTTCAATCCATCGTTTGGGAAGGAAGATTGGTCCCTTCACTCTCAAGCTTATTATGAAGAAAATATGCAAACACACACACATCTATCGTCTTGTATATTATGATTGAAGATCAATCACCATTTCCTTGTAAAAGGGAGTTCGTGAGTTTTTCATGTAGTTGAATGTACCTAATACATTTAGGGAGAGTATCCAAATACGGTGATTTTGTTGCTTGTCTTTTCACTTTCATTCTCATTTACTTTAGATTATTGGGCCTCCTTCATAATTGTACATCCTCTCTGAATCAAGTTTTGAAATGATTTGTTTTTAGCATGCATAAACTAATTGTTAAATTTGAGTTTTTATTATGATGATTTGAGTCAATTGCCTAAGTTAGTAAAACAAGAACCATATGTAATATCAATTCAAGTCATGTGGGAAGTGAAATCTCAAACTATTTTGAAAGACATAAAAAATTGAGATTTCTTGTGGGAAATTCGAATCACTCACAATTCATGATTCAAATAAATCAAAGCAGAGGCAAAATAAGAAATTTTTGGTGTCTATGATTGAATCAAATATTACACCTGATTCGAACCATGCTACTATGTGCTTCGAATCACAGTTTGTACATGAATCAAATCACAAACTTCTTATTTGCCACTGCCATGCCTGATTCGAAATAAGGTTTAACAGATGATTACAATCATGAACCTGTGTGACTCGAATCACCGTCAAATCACATGATTTCATTAAGACCTTGTTTCACACAACTTGCTCACTTGACTCAAATCATGAAATGCACTTGACTCAAATCTAACCAACTTTTTCTATCCATTTTTGTGCTTGATCTCAAGCACATATAAAATCATTTTGTCACCATTTTTTATGTGTAAATTTCATAATCAACATTGTGATTTTTTGTGAAACCAACTCCCTATCATTTTTGAAAGTTCAAAAACTCTTTCAATCAATTTTCTTTACTTTTCAACTTCTTTTTGATTTCAAATCTTTATAATGATAAATTTATAATTTGATTGAAGGAGACGCTGTCTTGAAACTAATCGTTCTTGAAAATTGGGTAAAGATTTTTCAGGTAGCTTGCAAGATTGAGCTTGTTGTCATTAGTGATGACAAATTTCAATGAAAAGAAAGAGGGTGCCTGCTTTAAGTGTTGTCCATTTGAACATAATATATTTTCCCTGGAGCTCACCCAAAAAGAACAGGGTGCTTGCTCTAATGCCAATTAAAATATTGTTCTTGAGGGGACAAATATTGGGACAACTGGTCCAACTTTGTTAAACAAGTATGACAACAATATAACAATAACAATAATAAAATACAAAAAGCAATAAAATAACACAAGAGATTGGTAACCCAGTTTGGTGAAATCACACCTACTCTGGAGGGCACTCTACCAAATAAAGGAAATTCACTACTTTGAATTAGTACAATTAGTCTTATAAAAACACCAACCACATGATGCTCAACACCTCTTTCTAATCCTAGTGACTTTCTATTTAGGACTCCCTCTAAATATGAGAGCTCCTCTTAGTTTATCTTAATCACTAATCTTAAGTGATCAACTTCAATAACAATGATATTGAATGTTGAATTTACAACTCAACTAAGATAAACCAACAACTATACCAAGTGATTGAAGCAATAATGTGGTGTACACATAACACAATCCAACACTAATCTTTATGATATGAGTGATAACATTAGCTTGGAATACAAGTAATAAAAGACTCAAAGAACTTAATCCTAGCTCACAAAACTTGTTTTCAAACATGAGATTTGAGTCTCGTTAATTAGAAATGCATTATGAGCCTTTCTCCTTTGGATTTTTGGTTTAATTTTGTCTAGAATAATAGTTGATATTTTTGGATTTGATTTGATCCATAAAAATCTCCAACAAAAGATATGATTTGTTATATTTAAAATTCAAATTTAAATATGATTTTATCATCAACAATTGTCAAACGAATCACATAAATATTGCTAAACAATATGCAACAAATCTGATTGAATCTCAATTAGAAATTTTGCACCTAACAACGTCCACCATGGCCTGTTGACAAGGGCCAGATGTTGCACTACACACATGTTGGAACATCATATTTTACATGTTGCACTAGAACATCCAAATTAACTCTCTTCATGAATTATAAATCTTCTTTGTTGAGTGAACCTTAGATTAAATAAATATGAACCAAAACTACAATAACATCTATTTGTTGTCAAAAACCAGATGTTGTAGCACACATGTTGGAACATCGTGTTCCACATGTGTTTTTTATGTACAATAAACAACTTGAACATACTCCACGTTGTTTTCATACTATTGGGAAAAGTCCTTCAAACTGGAAGATATCAAAAAGCTGCTATGTACAGAGATTTAAGAGAAGCAAAAGAAAAATTAACTTGGATGAATATGCTCTTCAACAACTATGCTAGACCATATGCAACATTCACTTTATGGATTACACTCATGGGAAAACTCAACACCAAAGAAATACTAGCAAATTTTGGGATAACAACTGATGAGGCATGTGCATTCTATGATAAGGCAGAATCTTTAGAACACTTATTGTTTGAATGTAGATGTACAAACAAGATATGGACAGACATATTGGAATGGACAGGATACATCAGAAAGCCTGCAAGATGGAGCAATGAAAAACAATGGCTCATACAAGAAACAAAAATAAAAAGTTAGAAAAAGAAGATACTCGAAATGGCCATTGTATATATATTGTGTTTAATTTTAATTGATTTAATATTGTTCCATGAAAGCTAACTGCTATTTTTTTTACATTTG